GAAAGACTTGAAGTAAGGACCTTCACAGCAAAGTCGCAGGGTAGACTGCACAGGGATATACTGTAGATCTGCTGATTTGATGACGCTGAAGAACTGGTACTGTCACACCTAGAAATCTAGGCAGTAGAGCATTCTAGATTGAAAGAACGTAGCAACTATTTTACAACAATCTGAAACAGCCATGCGGCCTGAAAGGAATGTGGCATTGACAATGGACGAATTCATTTTTTCTGGTACATTAGGTGTCTGTGGCCATTAATCGTTCCCAACTAGTAAATGACAAATCAGGAAGGCTCTGTCATTGTAGAACTGTGTCAGTCTTTTCTTGGTCAAAACGCCGCGATACGTCCCTGAGATTGGTTATTGTTAGAAACGTCGTCAGTAATACCAGCTTACCTTCAGCATGTTTCATAGTTAACGCTGGTGAAAACTATATTATTCAGTCATTATCGAGCAGCTGCTTCTAATCCTTAAAGCAAAACCTCTCTAACTAGAAAGATGCGCAGATAAATCATGGATATGATTAATAAAACTCCCTTCCAATCAAGATTTTAAAGAGGCTCTCATTGTACCTGTGAGGAGCCGTACCACTCATTTGTCTAAGTTCAGATCGCAATTATCATCTTCCAAACGGTAGACACAAAGCATTTGGATAAAAAATATTTACAACAGGTTACTATAATGCACCTTAGTGCAACGTGCAGTACAGGAGAGTAGAGTGCAACGCTACTCCGAGATGTTTCACCTTTTCTGAAACTTCAGCATTCAACTCTTCCTGGGTATCTGCAAGACGCTTTTTGGCTAATTCTGTTTTTCTGTCGCAGTCTTCAAAAAATCGCTCCAGGTGATCTAATGCCTAATTAAGAAAAAAACACGTTATACCTCTGTTATAACACCCAGGCATATCACTTACATCAAGGTCGTAAAAGTAGTCCTTTTCGCTTTGTGCCTTTTCAAAGTCAGCCCTTAGGGCAGGATCATGAATTTTTGGGCACTCGCCCATGTCCATTCTCTAAAACAATCAGTGATTAGGGGCAAAGTCTAAGAAACCGGTTAGTGACGTTGACAAAACAAGCACTTACGGTACTTGCCAACACCTCGTGCGGACAACAACCCAGGAGGAAACTCCGACAGACGCGACTGTCAGTGAATGGAATCGTATTCTGTCGCTTTTCTCCTAGAAATAAAAGCTCTCACTCGCACAGTGAAGCAAAAATAAAAGTAAGCATCAGCAGCAGAAAAAAATTCTGCACGTGAAATCTTACAATAAACTAAACTGTTAATTCAACAAGATATTCAGTTTTAAAATTGCTAATGTCAAAAATCTGCATTAATTCAAAGCGACAATATGTTGGTGTCGGCTATTTAACTGAAAATTCAACAAATGGTTTTAGTCAAAAAAATGAGATGAAACGAGTTGCACGGGCGATAACAACGATCGCAGTGTATAGCAGACAGCTATGCATAGCATAAAACAGTCGTCGTCAATTTTCCAGCGATCTCTAGCTTCAAACCATTTTCAAAAACATGCCTCACATAAAAAATAGGGTCAAACAAAATAGCCAACAGATACAAATTATTATTCACATGGAAACTGGTGCATAGCTTCGGATTAGCTTCAATATCATGAATACTTTTCAAAGGCAAAATCAAACGGCGCGTCAACAATCGTATGAAAGAAGCTGAGAGTAAAAACAACCTCCTGCATTGTTCCTGAACCAACATCAGCTACGGACAAAAATCGGCAGGAAAATCAACGATAACAATGAACACGAGGTATGTCAAAACGATTTTAATTTTTAATATTCAGTCAGATGAAATGTAGTCAAAACTTATCAAAATTGACGTTCAGGGAAGGGCAGTCCGACTTCAACCCTCTCAATGTTTACCTTAAGTAGGCTTTAGCTATACCTCATATGCTTTTTGAGCGAAACGACGACAGTTATATTAATAAAATAAAGACTTCAATATCGACCTTTAATGCTGTGTCTATATCAACTGTATCGTTATTACGTTTACACATAATATAACAGAATATAACCCCCGATGTTCTGAGGCAACTTTCCCTAGTGGGAATATTCAACAACGCCGGTCAATACAATATTACAAATAATAGCACCAGATTTTTAACGACGAAAACGTATATTAAACGTATATTACGTAATTACCTTTATTAAAAAAGACAGAATCCAAGTTTTCGAAATCACAAATTCAATTTATTATACTTTTATTACAAATTATTTCAAGTTCTAAATCGGACGGAAAAGTATGATAGAGAAATTGAATACAGAACGATAATAAATGATTAGAAGAAAAACGATCAAAGAATGAGATAAGAATATAACACAGTTATCAAACGGACTACCTACAGCATTCCGATTCGACGCATAGCTTTATATAAATACATTTGCTATGCATATACGAACATACTTCATTATATCATAACTGATCAGATGCAAAGTTAATCATTAAAATCGAATCGACAGTAGTACGAGCTTACCTATTAATAACCTTACTTTACTACACCAGAACAGATTAAGACACAGGTTACATATAAAACACTAATTTCATTTAATCAAGATATAACATTACGCTCTCTGAGACTAAACGCTTCAGGTTTCTGATAAATTGATCTGGTATACGTTCATATAGTCGTCATAAAATTTAGTTGTAAATCTTGAAAATGATACAGCATAAAAAACATCAACATGTCAAAATATTCGCTGCTTTTGTTGACCTACAGCAAACAGATGCAGACACAGGCGAAATCAAGTGGAAACCTTGTAAAATCTTTAAATATAATTTTTTAAAGCATTCAAGCGAATAAGAAAAAAATATACAGATTGAAATTGCTCAACTAAACAACCTACAGCAAACCAAAGAGAAGTGTGGCCGAGTCCATTTTTATTAAAAACTACCCGGAAATTTCTTACCGTCTCTGCCTGTTCCCATAAGTTCGTCTAACATCTTCCTGATCTGATCATGAGCTGTCATTTTTGATCAACAACGAAAGCTAACGTCACAGCTAATGCAAGGGTACGGAAAACGCCGCCAGAGGATATTGGTACGGTAGCCAAACTCTTTGTGATCAGCATGTACATTTTTGTTAACACCATAATTGCTATCAAAGAAAAATACTATTAATTTCAGTCCAAAAAGGAAAAATTAAGCACACGTATAAAAGTATTAAATCATCTGTGCAAAATAATCAATCAAACATTATAAATTTTTTACATTCTATCTCGTTCAACTGGTACTCGCCAGTACGCCTAATGCGTGAAGTTCTCTACCTCGTCATTCCGCTCCATTTAATCTTTGGGTCGCAAGTCCAGTCGGGTAATCGCTGGATCTTCGTTTTGGTGGTGCTAACTTCGAAGCCTACCATCGAGACCATCTTTCACGCTTCTCGAATTGGTGACAATGGGTCATTGGCGGAATTGCTGAGCAGTACAATATCATCAGCGTGCTCGAGATCTGTCATGATTCCTGCTTGATTAGTTCGGCTGAACTGTGGTCTGAGAGTAAATATCTCACTGTTGTTGAGGATGATACTCCTCCGCATTAATCTATTACGACGTTGAATGACAGAGGAGAAAACACCTTTCCATGCGCAGTCCACTGTTGGTACTAAACCAGTCCGACAACTACCCTTCTGCTATGACGGCACCTGTAGTGCCTTGGTGCAGCTTTGCCAGAAGATCGGTATTCTTCTGCGCATTCCATAGCGTTGCGCGCCACAAGTACCGAATCGAAGCTAATCGAAAGTCGAGGGACGTTGCATGCCATGTCTGTTGAGAGTTTCCCCCCTGTTCGATAATTTTTTAGTTTGAAGATGTCATCCGTATAAAATAGTAGAGTTCGAAACTGTGTTTCACCTGATCGAAGCGAATTGCAATCTCTAAGCTTCGGCGACGGATTCACGTGAATGTCTTTTCCAACACAAACAGATGCCGCAATCAAATCGATTCCCAGGTTTGATTATGGAAATGACTACCCTTTGCTTCCGGTTTTCCTGGAATTCTGAGTTTCATCAGAGGTTGTCAGAAACCAGCCTGGATACACTTCAGTAGGGCTTTGTCTGAGCATTTCAGAAATTCCCACTATACTTCGTGCCCGCAGAATGAAACAACTCTCGACCGAGATGAATGGCGTCCCCTGATGTCATCATTTGATGGAGCGGAGCAGTCAATTTGCAGTTCTTCTCGGCCTTCGGAATAATCCAAAAAAGCATAACATCGTTTTATTGAAGTCTGTCAACAAAACTGACTACTGGGACAGATTGAATCAATGAATCTATAATTGATTCATACGTCACGGAACACGTTGCGTCGTTTCGTTCGTTATAGCTACGTTGTTTTTTACAATGAAAAATAAAGTGCTCTTACTCCATATATGCAACTGCTGAAACATCAAAGTATTTCCCTACACCGTAGAAGGTGCAATGAAGCATGAAACTTGCCAGAAAAGAACTCCATTTTTCCTGATGTCTGGCAGGTGGATCTAGCGAATGATCTGGTACGAAATTCATAAACAACTACAAGTATAAAATACCACGGAGAAGTGTCTCGATTAAACTTCCTCTCCCCTGATTACTAGAGCATCTTCAGGTAACTAGGAGCAATCGGGCGATTGAGTATGATAAGGGTTCTGCGCAGTGAAGCGATGTGCGCAATGATATGTTTTTGTCATATTAGAAATTGCCATTGTTAGAAACCGATTTTTTATGGTATATCCCTCAATCATACAATGCTCTTCAAAGGGCTTGGTTCTGTGCAATAGTGCAAAGCTACTATTTCGTAATTTTTCATGAAAATTGAACACTTCTGAATCAAACAACGGATTTTGCTTCCGTTTACAGGGTTGGCAACGGACGAAGTTTATTCCTCTGTACGGTAGCACACAAAGAGTGCATACCGTACGGCATGTTGGTTGTTTCGCTCGTTAGTGCTACATGATTTTCTTTGCACGCGAATTTTGAAAAGCCGCTACTTAGTGCATATATGAACGAAAGTGACCAAAATGTGATCGTACAATGATGTATGTCTAATGAAGCGTAAGGCTTCTAATAAAAGATTTCGATTTTTGACAGAACCAAGTATGCATTGTAAGTTCTGTAAGCAGCGCTCCTGACGAGTACTAGGTTCAAATTACTGATGGCAGGATCATCTGGTATTGCAGATGTTAAAATATCACAGTTATATATAAATCCTGCTTAATGTCCTCCCCTCTCCCACAACTACACTAGACATCAGGATGAATCCAATTGTTGGGTCTGCCGCGAAACGCTCTGAGGTAATAACATATTTCTGTCATATGCAATTGTTAGAAAAACTGTCTAACAATTGATTGATGCATTTAAACAACTAAACCGACTGTCAATAGAATATGCTTGATTGATGCAATGCTTGCCTACCGAGATGGTTCTCTGCAACTTTACACCTTGACACATTGTGCAATTTTAAAGGGATGACTCTGCGCAATGGTGCAAATCCATTTTTGGACGTTTCTAATGAAATTTGAGCAGTTAGGAATCAAATAACCAAAATTACACTCATTTAAAATGGCTGACAATGGAGGAGATATATGCCTTTAGACGATGGCACGTAAGGCGGCTAAATCTCCACGCTTTTGCGCTAATGCAGTTCAGCATATTTTGCCGTTTTGTTCATTGCTGCAAACTTGTTTTCCTTGGGAATGATGCATACGAGCTCTTACTCTGTTCGTGTAACCGCAGAAGCATTAAAATATGTTCATATGCAGGTTTAGTCTAATGATCTACCAAGTTTTCAGGAGGTTTCGAATTTTTGCCGTACCAAGGATTGAACGGTATTAAAACACCGCTCATGATGAGTGGCAGATTGCCCCAGGGAAGAAACTGATGCGAGGCGGATCTGACACAGCAGGTAATAAATTCGCATAGGCATCTGTCCTACTTTACGATGTTCGCGCCCACTAACACCCCCCCCCTCCCCGCCCGCACACACACACACACACGTCAGCAATTATATATATGCGCCATGAACTCTGGGCAGTGAAGAGATGTGGGATGATAATATTTTTTGTCATGTATGTTGTTGCGAACCGACTAAAAATAGTATATAGTTGAATGACGCAAAGATCGTCTAACGGGGTGGTTCTGTGCAATAATGTACGGGAGTGAATTTCTAATGGAGTTAAACTGTACTACCGAGTAAAGCTATTATCTTGAAGTTTGCATATAAAATTGAGCATTACATCAGACCAGCAAAGAATGACATTTTTATTTTAGCCGGTCACCGTTAATGAATTTCATGGATCAAAACCGTGGCATTTAAGAAGGCTACATTCCCGTGTAATTATTAATTACCCGGCATAAAGTGCTGTATATTTAGTCGTTTCGTTAGCTAGAGCTACTCTGGTTTCCTTGCGAATGATGTTGAAGAGGTCTCACACCGTGTACGTAGCCACTGAACGATAAAAATATGTTGGCATACCAGAGTATATAAAATAAGGCATGAAGCTTCTAGCACATGATTTGGATTCTTGCCCTACTGAATACGGATTTCCAGTTCCTGATTCAACAACTGATTGACTCCAACTAAAACCGTTGGACCTCGCAGTTCATGCGAATATTACGATCAGTAAAATGGTGTATTTGCAGAAGCAAACGGCAGTGCCATTCTGTTGAATAATAGAAGTCTTGCGAGTAGGCGCTGATAAACACTTTAAGCAGTGTAGGCTGCACTGATCTGATGCTCTTGAGGCAGGAAGTTTCGCGGACAATACAAATTTTTCGATAACCCATTCATTGCAGGCAGAAATCGAGGTAAAGATTTAAAACCATTCCCATTTGCTGAGCTCCATGCAGAAAAGTAGTTGTAACTAGTCCATCAACAATGTAGTGGAGCCCGTAATTTGACGGTAATCGTTTCTTCATCATGCAACAGGGATCGACAGAATTTAAAATTAAAGAGAATAAATTGTTACAACGATATAGTAAGGTCAAATAGTTTCTGACAAATCATTTAGCCCTTGAAAGTCGCTAGTAGAGAGGATATTTGAGTCTGGATGTAAACAGCGCGCGAAT